TAAATGAGTTATATGAAATAGGGGTCGGGTCAGAAAAACCTATTTTGGTACAGTCGCGCCGCGTGGGGCACCGTAAGGGGCAGCGTGGTAATGAAAAATGTGCTTAGAAACGAAATTGAAGGTGCTCTGATAATTTACACAGCCGCGCCGCATGGGGCGGCTCATTGTGCGGCGCGGTAGTGTAAAATTCTACGCTGTTTTTAGTAATTTGGTCATAACTTCTGGTAGGAGTGTCCAAATGACGAACGGTTTGAAGCGTTAGAAACTAGACTTGAAGATTTCATTTGATAGGTTGTTCATCACATGAAACCTTATAACTATTTATATATGATCGTCCAAAGTGAGGTCTTGTGCGTACTCATTTGCAACTTTAGTCTATTATGAAATTATCCAACTTGGCTTAGACTTAGGACTTTCTTTAGACCTAATATATCTTATAGTACGCCTCGTACACTTGCTATCACATCCATTTGGTATACATCACGGTAATAGACCTCTTCCACATATAAAATAATATAATTTGAACACGTCAACTTTCTTACTTCGCCAAAATGCGCTGAATTGTCTTATGGACTTCCAAATCCAAATTCGTACACATGTCTAAGTCCGAAATCACCGTAAGAAGCTATTGACATTATTAAAATTCCATTTTGGGGTCGTTTGGTCAAAAGTCAACTCTTCGGTCAACTCTTTCCATTTGAGCTTCAAAATAAGATCTTGATTTTTCTTTAAATTTAACTACGAATCTTACGAAAACCAAACTTGACCATATATGCGGGTCATTATGCACATTAAGAAGCTTCTTGGGGTCTTAAGCTGCTGAACGGGGCGCTAATTCTTAAAATGACAAGTCGGTTCATTACAATTTGCAACCAAAACATCGCAAATGCGATGACACCAGCACCAGCAATCAAAAATTATGAAAAATCATTCTGCAACCAATCCGACACTCACCCGAGCCCTCGGGGCTCCAAACCAATCATGCACCAAGGTCCAGAAACACAACACAAACTCGCTCGCGTGCTCAATTCATCAAAATAACCTCTAAGACCACGAATCGGACGCCAAAACGCATGAAGATCAAACTAAACTTCAAGAACTTCTAGAATCGCAACCGAGCGTCCGAACCATATCAAATCAACTCCAAATGGCTCCAAATTTTGTAGACAAGTTCCATATGATGGAACGAACCTACTCAAAGCTTCAAATCACGCATAACAACCTCGAATCGATGAATCACACCTCAATCAAAATCAATGAACTTTGAAACTTAACTTCTACAACCAATGCCGAAACCTATCACCTACAATTGACATCAAATTTTGCACACAAGTCACATTTTCCATTACGGACCTATTCCAGCTTCCGGAATCCGAATCCAACCCCGATATCAAAAAGTCCTCTCCCGATCAAACTTCCAAAAATCCAACTTTCGCCAATTCAAGACTAATTCGACTATGGACCTCCGGATTACAATCCGGACGCGCTCCCTAAGTCCAAAATAACCCAACAGAACTAACGGAACCGACGAAACTCCATTCCGAGGTCAAATGCTAAAAAGTCGAACTTGGTCAACTCTTCCAACTTAGAGCTTAAATATTGAAGTTCATTCTTCCAAATCGATTCCGGATAACTTGAAAAACCAATACCAACGATTTACGCAAGTCATAATACATCGTGCGGAGATACTCGAGCCCTCAAAATACTGAGCGAAGTGCAGATACTCAAAACAACCAGTCGGGTCGTTATAGGAGGAAAGAACACACTAGGAGCAGGGGGGAATTCATCTACGAGTTTTTCACTTCCTTCTTCCTATTTTAATTATTGGTTATGAATTCTAGTATTGTGGTTTTGCATACTATTATGAATAGCTAATTTGTTATCTAGACTTCTGATAACCTTTTGTAGGATAAACTCTTGTTATGTTTTTTATATAATTGAGCCGTTGGATCTCTCTACTTGTTGAACTACGTGTTTATTGTTGTTGATTGAATGACCATCAATTGACTGTGCCTATTTAGTATGCATTGCTTGGAAAATGGTACATATTTAGGTATTTGTTGAACAACATCACTCCTGGCCTATCTGAGGAATGAATACGAAGGGTTTAAAGGTTGGATTAGGAAAAACGAAATCTCGGTGCGATCTTAGAGAGGGTTTAAAGGTTGGATTAGAATGTTCATGTTGGACACAATAGTCAATTTAATTTTTTAATATTTAAAAATAATTATTTAATTTTTTAATATTTATGCCTTCAAAATTAACAAAAGTTTATGCATTGGATTTTTTTAAAATATTTTTTCTCATATAAAATTTTCTTATTTGTACTATCTAGCATAATTATAATTCATTCAATTATTGTTATTTGACCATTTTAGTATTATTTAAATATATACTACCTATTCTTGAAGTTCCAAAAACATATAAATTCTAAATCAACAACAATACATTGGATCGGTCACATCTTCCTTCTTCTCAATTTCTGACGTTATTATGCAAAAACTTCCTTATACTTTTTGCATATCATTCTGGTGTGTATCTTTATTCTGTGTGTAAATTTTTACGATAGTTGTATGCATTCGGTTATATACAAATTCATTGTCTGGGTTAAATGATTTGTAGTTACGTCGGCAATAAATAAGTTACAGGGTTAAACAATCCTCAAAATTGGACTATATTTGTCACATATATATTTATTTTCACATGGACATCTTATATTTTACTTTTAGGAGGAATACTACGGCAACAATAAATTTTTTTGGCCATGATAGTTTAGTTGAAGCAACCGAACATACACCAAGAACATCCTCTATAAAGAGGATATAACAACATTACATCATAATATCTCATACAATACAATATCTATCATTGCAAATGCTATATAACTAACTTAACTAATTAAATTATTCATGTTGGTAGGTTTAATATCCAACAATTTTGAACTCACCTATTACGTTAATGTAATGACACTCATTTTTCCATTTAAATGCATATTGGATCTATTAGGACGCCAATTGCTATTACACACAGTTTATTTTTGTTATATACAATTTTTTTTTATTAATAGACAATTTTACACGTACAACGCACGTACCCTAAAACTAGTAAAAAAAAAAAAAAAGATTTTAAGACTTTATCTTGGATTGCTTATATATGCTATCGAGATTAACATTTAAAGCAGATTTTACCGTAACATTACTCTCCTACAGTTTGTCACTTCTGACTTTAGACGCTTGCATATGTTCCACATTTAATCATGATCCAATTCTGGTATTGTTTCATTCATTAATGGACCGTGCGACCTAAGATAAAGAAGATAATACTATTACTAGGATGTTCGATTATGATGAAAAGAATAAAGTAAGAGAACAAATATTCTAATATAAATTCTTCGCCAGATAAGCTAGGGACTAAGTCTGCTCCGGTTATCTTAATATTGTGTTGTTGTTACTGTTTCTTGTTACTGTATTTTATTTTCATGGCTTTTCCATTACTGTATTTCTTTTCAAATATGCTTTTCCTGAGCCGAAGGTCTAACGGATATAATATCTCTACTTCCACATGGTATGTGTAAAATCTGTGTACACACAATCCTTCTCATCCGAAATTTGTGAGATTACATGGATTTTTTTTTATTGTTGTAGTAGACGCTAGGAACCAAAACAGAACACTATGATAATATGCGACCTCTCGAGGCAGTAAGGGAGGTTTTTTCTGGGTGAGAATATAGGACGACAATATTAAGATCACTTGTTGACAAATATGACAGAGTACTAAATTCCTTTCTTGATCAAGTGATCTGCTTTATGGTACTTCCTCGTCCTCTTGTCGATACGGATAATATTGTGGACTTGATTTCAACAGCACGTCTATGAGGATATATTCTAAAAAAATAAAAAAATATTTCACTTTTCTCAAATCCAAAGTAGGATTTCAAAATCTTTTGCTGTATTGGAAAATATCAATCTAGGTGGATATCTTTACATTCCCTTAAGCATATACATTGTTTTCAAGGGGGAAATTACAAAATATATTTTGTTCATGTCGAAAACTAATTAAAAAAAGAAAAAAGTTGCTATAAATGAATTTCGGTACAAAGGAAAGTTGATTATATATGGCCGCTAAACAGAGGTTGATCTAGAATTTTAAGTTATGGTTTTTGACGGAGTCTTTTTATTTTATTTTTTGCTTACTGGGTTCATGATGTATTATTTATTAAGTGAATTTTTTAAAACAAACACAAGAGTTGGGTCAAAGCTATTGTAATCTGCCGAACCTGTAACTTCAACGGTTGACATGCCCCTGCCGCTAAACTATACAACAATGTTTTTTAGAAACATGAAAAGTTATTCCCGAAAGTGAAAAAATGCTTTAAACACACAACTTAGTTTTGGGAATATTTTAAAGATGATGATTATATTCTTTTGACTTTCAGCTTGAGTATGTTATGATACAATAGAATCAGTGCAAATCACTATGATTTCATCATCATGGAAGCTAACAGTCTTTTCATCGCTTAATACCTTGATTCTGATCTCACCCTCTTTGTGTGCAAAACTAAAATTTTCAGAAGGCAAACTGAAAGCAAACCTGCCTAAAAAAAAAAATTAAAATCTAGCAAACAATTGGTAATCTAGCAAACAAATGGTGATTCCTTAGACTTATTAAACCCAGAAGCAACACACGAAGAAGAAGAGACTTAATTACCTCCAAACGTAGTGATCAAATCTTATAAGTAGAGCAATAATAAAGAGAGACCCAAATTGATCCAAGTGATCAACAACAATCCACCAATTCTTTTAGCAATTTTCACCATTTCTTTTAAAACTAACATACAAATCTGGGGCCTCTATATATAGCTTGATGGTAGGTTCATGTTTTTCACAACAATTCAAGCCTGAAATTCACTTCACTGCATTCACAACTTTCTTTACTCTTAACCAAAATCTATAAATCTTGGCATTTTGCCAAACACATTATTTCTTGAACGTACAAATAACATGGATATGGTGATGAAGTTGGGATCAACAAGCTCTGTGGTGATATTCACCAAGAGTAGTTGTTGCATTTCTCATAGTATTGAAACCCTAATCCGTAGTTTTGGAGCAAATCCTACAGTTTCCGAGCTCGATAGACATCCAAATGGGAAGCAAATAGAGAAGGCACTAATTGAACCAGGGTGTAAGCCAAGTGTGCCAGCAATTTTTATAGGGAATGAATTTATTGGTGGTTCTAATGAAATCATGAGCCTTAATGTGAGAAGCAAGCTGAAACAATTGCTCATAAGGGCTAATGCCATTTGGGTATAGAAAGAGCAACTCTACGAGTTTTGATAGTACCTAAACTAACTACTTATTGAGTGTCTTTTAGCTTTCTTCGGATGGTTGTTTTTTCTCCCATTTTTCTTCTTGATGTATTAATAAAGTTATAATATTGGTAATCGTCATTTCTTATGGCAATGTAATGGCGGTTTTATTTGTTCGTAGCTGATGATCATATGAAAGTAGAAGTTAATAACAATGAGAATCTTTATGTTCTACATGCATTAAGTTTTATATATAATTTTGGCATTTTACGTAGATTTTGTTTATATGTATTTAACAATCAAAACATAGTTATGCTGAATCTTGGAACTTAAAAGACTCACTCGAATGACTTTCTCTTACAGCTTGTTTGGATTGTTATTACTTATTGTAGTTGTAATTGTATTGTTACTTTAAATATAATGTTTGTTTTGATTGTTACTTAAATTGTATTGTAACGTATCTTTAAATTCATTGTTATATAAAGACGAAAAGTGTCACTTTATGAAACGACGGATTTGGCGTGGTGACATTGCTACTTTGCTTTTTTCTCACATCTTCTCCTTCTTTATTATTAAATAATTTGTTTTCCTTCTTCTCGTAGTATCATCCTTCTTCTTCACAAACAGAACCGCTGCACCCCAAGGTGACACACTAGGCCTAATAAACCCCTTATCAAGGAGTTCTTAAAGCTGCTCCTTCAATTCCTTCAACTCAGCTGGTGCCATACGGTACGAAGGAATAGAAATGGGCTGAGCGCCCGGCACCAAGTCGATACCAAAGTCAATATCCCTGTCGGGCGGCATTCCCGGCAGGTCTGCAAGAAACACATCCGAGAAATCTCGTACCACCGGAGCAGAATCAATAGTGGGAGTATCCGCACTAACATCCCTCACAAAGCCCAAATAAGATAAACAACCCTTCCCAGCTATCCGTTGGGCCTTCAAGTATGAAATTACTCTGCTGGGAACATAGTTTGGAGAACCTCTCCACTCAATCCTTAGCAACCCGGGCATCGCCAACATCACGGTCTTAGCGTAACAATCCAACAGCATGAGAGACAACTAATCCATACCCAAGATCACGTCGAAATCTACCATACTAAGCAGCAAGAGATCAACTCTAATCTCCAATCCCCCAATAGCCAATATACACAACCTGTATACACGGTCCACAATAATTGTATCGCCCAATAGCGTAGATACATGAACAAATGAAACTAAGGACTCACGGGGCATATCCATGTAATGAGAAAAATACGATGAGACATACGAATAAGTGGAAACAGGGTCAAATAATACAGAAGCATCTCTGTGGCATACTAAGACAATACATGTGATCACTATATCTGAAGCAATGGCATCTGGTCTGGCAGGAAAAGCATAGAATTGGGCCTGGCCGCCACCTGATCGGCCTCCCCCTCTAGGGCGACCCCTAGCTGCCTAAGCCCCACCCCGAGCTGGCTGGGCGGGTGGTGAAGTAACTGGTGCTGAAGTCGTAGTCTGACTCCTCTACTGAGTTGGACCTCCAAATAAGCGGGGACACTACCTCCTGATATGACCAAGCTCACCACACTCGTAGCAACCCCGATCTGATAATGGTGGTGGGGACTGAAAGGATCCCCGAGCACCGGGATAACTGCTAGAAGGTCCCAGCATAGATGAATCCTGAACCGATGGAGCACGGGACGAACTCTGAGCTGGAAAGGCACTGAGAGAGGACTGACCCTGATGAGAACTGTATGAACTATGGCCGTATGATGCACCACGGTGAACTGGACGACCCATCTGAGCATGCCTATAAGGACGACCCCTGTCGTGGTAGAACTGACCCCCAAAAGGAACACCGTTGAAACCACCTGACCCATGAGTCCTCTTGTCCTCCCTCTCACCCCGTTCCTGACTGCGGACCATCTCTATCTGCCGAGCAATATCGGCCACCTCGTCGAAAGTAGCACCGGATACCCTCTCCCGAGTCATAAGCAACCGTAGCTAATATGTGAGGCCATCAATGAACCTCCTAATCCTATCCCTATCAGTGGGAACCAACCAAACTGCATGACAAGCCAACTCAGAAAACCTCATCTCGTACTGTGTCACAGACATGCCATCTTGACGTAGCTGCTCAAACTGTCTGCGCAACTCCACTCTGCTAGACTGCGGTACGAACTTCTCCAAGAAGAGAACAGAGAACTCTTACCATGTAAGTGGTGTTGCACCGACCGGCCTGAGCGTCTCATAAGCCTCCCACCATCTAAAGGTAGCCCCAGAAAACTGAAAAGTAGTGAACAAGACCCCACTGGTCTCCAGAATACCTGTTGTTCGAAGAATACGTTGGCACTTATCCAAGAAACCTTGGGCATCCTGTGACTCAGTCCCGCTAAACGGTGGAGGCTGAAGCCTTCCAAATCTCTCGAGCCTCCTCTACTCATCATCAGTCATAATGGGAACCATCTAGGCCAGACCCGCTGCAACCGGCTGGGCTGGTAGTGCCCCCGGTGTCTACAATCCCTGCATCACCTACTCTGGTGTACGGGCAGCGAGAGTTTGGGTACCTCCCCCGGCCTGAGAAGTGGCTGCTGCGGCCGGAACTGAGACCGTCTGAGCAAGGCTAGTGCACACGGTCAGAATCTTAGCCAAAGCCTCCTGAAGGCCTGGAATCACAATGGGCACAACTGGTGCCTGAGCTGACCCCGCTGGCTCAACTGCGTCTGGTACCTGCTCTTGAACTGTAGCGACTGGCTGGTCTGCAAGTGCTGCTCCAGCTACTATATGAGCTGCACCTATGCCCCTACCGCGACCTCGGCCTCTCGCGACCCTAACTGGTGGTACTGGTGGTTGTCCATCCTGTCCGGTAGCACGTGTCCTCACCATATTTGAAAGAATAGAATATAGAAGTTTAGTTACCATAGTCAACAAATCCGCACGACAAGAATATAGGAATCTGAAGTTTCTTAAGCGTTTGGCAGCCTCTGGAAGATAAGTACAGACGTCTATGTACTGATCTGCAAAACTCTACTAAACCTGCTCATGACTCGTGAGACCTATGCAACCAAGGCTCTGATACCAACTTGTCACGACCCAAATCCTAACCCGTCGTGATGGCGCCTAACGTGGTCCTAGACAAGCACACATTTATGAAATAACTCCAATACTTTTAACAGAAAATGGGTTTAAAGCAGTTTTAATAAGAAGAAGTTCTCATAAATGGGATAGAAAACCCAAAACATAACGCGAAAACTCCCAACATATCACAAGTCTGGGAAAATACTGTCTATCATAATCTGAAGCTAAATACAATAAGTGGAAAGATAGGGAAGAAGAGACAAGGTCTGCGAAATGCCTGGCAGCTACCTCAAAATCTCCAAACGGTCAACTGAGCAAAAGAAATCAACACCCACCATGTCCGAAAACACCTGGATCTGCACACGAAGTGCAGGGTGTAGCGTGAGTACAACCAACACAGTAAGTAACAAAACTAAATAAAGAACTGAAAGTAGTGACGAGCCTCACAGTTATAGTTCAATTACAGTGATTTCAACATAGAAGAGTAGGCATGCTTTCAAGTTCAATAAATTAGGTCGAAAAAGTTACTTCATGACAAGTTTAAGTGAAACAGAGTGTAATATCTTCCAGAAATTTCAAGACAATGATACATGGCAGCTAAGTGCAACAATAGGGAAATCAAATGTATCCTCTCAGGTCCTCAGTCACTCAGCCCTCACATTCTCTCAACACTCGACACTCAGCACTCGCACTCAGCACTCGCACCCAGTAGGTACCTGCGCTCACTGGGTGTGTGTACAGACTCCGGAGGGGCTCCTTCAGCCCAAGCGCTATATCAAGTCAATCATGGCATAAATCAATGAAACACGCTGTGGCGTGTAGCCCGATCCCATTAATATATATAGCCATAAGGCTCGTTGCGGCGTGCAACCCGATCCACATATATACATATCTCAGTCACAGCTCGGCACTCAGCCCCCAACTCAGTCACCAACCTCTCCAGTCTTTCGGGCTCTCAGAAATTATGAAAATCAGCCCAAAACAGAATTGATACAATGTATCAACAAGGAATAATAGAGACTGAGATATGATATGCAAGTAAAACTGTGACTGAGTACAAGCAGCAATTAGCAGATAATTAAACAGGTAACACGGCCTCTGTGGGTCCCTACAGTACCAATACATAGCCTAAACATGATTTCTAACATGATTTGCAGTCAAATTTCTCTAACACATGGAGAGCATAAAGCTAACAACAAGTTATTCAACTTCACAGTTCCACGGAATAGACCAAGTCAGAACTCCTACGGTGAACGCCCACATGCCCGTCACCTAGCATATGCGTCACCTCCAGACCAATCACAAGACACATAATACGGGGTTTCATACCCTCAGAACCAGATTTAGACTGTTACTCACCTTAATCCGAGCAAATCTCTACTCCAACACACCTTTGCCTCGCAAATCGGCCTCCAAATGTCTCGAATCTAGCCATAAACAGTATGATACAATCAACACGGGATAAAGGAATCAATTACACAAGAAAATACAAAGTTATTAATCAAAAGTCAAAAATCGACTCAAAGCCAGCCCCGGACACATGTCTCGAAATCCAACAAAAGTCACAAAATCATAAAGCCCACTCAACCACGAGTCCAACCATACCAATTTTACCAAAATCTGACACCAAAATGCACTCAAATTTCCAAATCAAACTCTCCAAATCCTTAGCCTCAAACCCCCAAATTTCACCTCAAAACCACAAAATCTAGGTGAAAAAATCAAGGGAGAAACAAGATTATTGAATAAAAATGAGCACAGGTGACTTACCTCAAGAATCTCCTCAAAAACCCTCTCAAAAATCACCTTAGACCGAGCTAGAAATGTCCAAAATGAAGAAAAATCGCTAACCCTTGAATTTATATGTTCTGCCCAGTCATTCCGCTCTTGCGGCGTCGCAGAAGCGACCACTCAACCGCATATGCGGCTACTCCGCTCCTA